TGAATGTCGGCAAATGCTATTTCGAGGTGGACATAGCTGAAAGCTAGATCGGCATTCGTGACTTCAGGCGCTTTTGTACACGACCCAGAACACAGTTTGCTACTAAGACATTAGATGTCTCCTTAACATAAAAAATTTTGCTATTTGTTGTAATCGGCAATCATGGACACAGTTTTTATGTATTACGTAAGAAACAGCATTCTAGGCCTCTTTTAAAGTTGATTGTTGCTTCAAGGTATATTTTTATTTAGTTCTGTTTTAATTGAGTCCTTGAATTAGCTTGGATAAAATGCCACCACGTGTATAACTCACCTTGTCTGAATCTTCTATAATCAACTGAGTTATTTGTTTATGTATGCTCAAAGCAGCGATTTCTCATGTTATGTAAAATGTCTAGTTGATAACTAGAAAATAGAAGGTGAATCTCTCTGTCTCTTACTCGTTGCTATGTAACTGCTTCCAGAGGCTGTGATAAAAGATTTTGCAAAAGAACTATGTTAGGGGTTTGCAACCCGCGGCATCGCATATGTTTTGTGCTGTACGTGTGTTATTCTAATGAAAATGCATTAACCTATATGATAAAAAATAGTTAACTGCTATCAGAAAATACTTTTGTTAACGTTGTTGTTAGTTGGCAGTACCAATCGCTGCGTGCAATTTTCAGTTTAGGTCTTAATGAAGAACATCAGATCAATAAATTTGACGCACCATACTGATCAAAACATGGAGGGATGTTCCAGATTTGCTGTAAGAGTAATTATATGTAATAGCGAAATACTTTTGTACCTTGTAGCTTAAAGTAGTCCTGTCTCGCTAACGACTGATTTTGTCAAAGAGAAGTAACGTACAGTATCTAAGCCTATTTACAACAGTAGACGTCGTTTGGTAGCATCATTTTAACAAACTTCAGTGGCGTTTAACCAAATAGAAACTCATAACATTGTGACCCGCGAGTGGACAACAAGGGTAAATGTTGCTCTGGGTCTGGAAAATATTGACTCCTAGTATAAGTCTGCCACAGTTTTTGGTGCAATAACACGCTAAACGATCTGGTGTAGATAAAATGCTATGAATTTGTATTCAGTAGGTGCCGAGTTCTAATGCTGACCGGGCTAACGACTATAATGACCGATTTTTTTTTCTCAGTCTCTTCAGATGGACACATACTGGTCTATCTTAAAAAATTCTGCGAAATCCTTTCGTGCTTACTATTCTTGATCATTATAGATTGAAACGTCGTTACATGACCTAAGACTTAGCTGATCACCACCCATGATAACATTATTTCGACGATATAAAAACCTGTTTTTTTTCTTTGTTTTTTGTTTGTTTGTTTGTTTTTAATTTTGAAATTACCTAAAATCGTACCGACTTCGGCTTGTAGAAGCTTTTGCAAACGACTTTACGCTGTTAGTATAATTTGAAAAAAGCAGCTGTTATCTAATCTGTGGAAGCCCTCAAGCCGCTGGCTAACTGTGAGAATGCATGGAAAGACCTTCCGTTCATTGAAAAGTTCTGTTTCTCGTCACATATCCATCAGCCTTGTTTGTGCACATAAAAGGGTGTATAGGTGATTTATTTGTAGGGTTATTATCCCTTTGAAGTGCGGAAGAAAGAGGAGAAAAAATATATAAAATGAAAGGGGGAATAGCGAAAGACATTACATTTAAGCGTGGAGGGAAAAGAAAGAACATTTTCCGACTGTAAAGTTTCGCAAATGATGAGAAGGAATTAATTTGAGGAGAACCTTAATCCATTTCATTGGAATTTCGAATTTTTACAAATTCAGTTTAAAAAGAGTTAATAAATAAATAAATAATAAATGAAAGTAAAATTAAAAATAATAACTTGGCCGAGTCTCCATTACAATGATCAGTTGCTTGATGCTGTTTACGGAAATAGTCTCTGTACTGAAAATCATACAGAACCCACAAATCCATGCTATGGGCAAAATTTAGAGATACTGACAATGAAAAAGCAGGTGGTACACATAGTTACCACTGAGTTAAAAGTACTGAAGTATTTCCAATTTAATTAGTGTCTCAACATCAACTAGTGGAAGACCTGCAATCAATTAACGAAACACCCATCACCAGTGAAGCAATGTAATTACTTTGACGCTGTAACAGATGATGAGTCTCTGACGTCAGAAATCTGGTGGACTATTTACAACATCCCTTAAAGGGGAACGAACAACTAATGCCAATTTATCAGAAGTTCAATAATGCTGCATGACGAAGTTCTATGAAGACTCCAGTCCTGCCTGTATATCTGTCCACTCATTTTGCAACAATTAAATCTATCCGATGACGCCGTATCCTTCAGCTAGATTTTGACGAAATTCTGTATGGCAGACGCTTCCTAAAACATATTACGACAAAAAACTTGATTCTTATCAGCCAGTCAGGATTCAAACTTTATTTGTAGAAACTCAAATTAATAATGCCCTTATATTTCAGATAAAATTGTAAGAATATGTGTCTGAACTGACTCCTGGAGTAGAATATTTATTTATGTATGTATTTATGGTTTTTTAACGACGCCATCAGTAGTTCAATCTACATATCATGGAATGATAATAGGTTTGATAAATGATAAATTTGGAAAGATATGGCCAAATTTGAGGTCCTATCCCGATATCTGCCTGGAGAACTGAGAGAAATCACGAAAAATGTCAGTTCGTTAAGTCAGTCCCCGGGCCAAGACTTGTGAGCGGTTTCTCCCGAATATGAGGTAAGCGTGCTAACCATTTGACTGTGTCATTCGACAAGCGTATTTCTTCAGAAGGTAATAGTATCTCATCTTGTTAAGAAATATCAGTGTTTTATGTATTCCAAATATTAAAGTATTCGCAAGAGTTTGCACTAACCACGCCACTGTTTCTCGCTGTTTCATACCCTTTAGTGCACAAATCAATCATTATGTGGAGCTATGGCGACGTATAAAAGAATTGGCCAGTGGTACTGATGCTTACAAGACCTTCGCATGGAAAGGGCGCTTTTGTTAGTAACTACATATAAACTGGAATAGAATACAGGACCAGTTTGATAGTATTTACGTTGTACTGAGAAATGAAAAACATGAATAATTGATGATGATGATGATAATGATGATGATGATGTAGATATGTCGTATTATTGTTTTGGCGGTAAACATCTTAGTTTCTGAAGGCTGTCTGTTGGAATTTTTTAACTTACGTAACACCACACGATCTTCAACAGCCAATTAAAAATATTGATGGCCAAGCCCAGCCGAATTTAGATCCAAAAAGAAAATATAAAACCAAATGCTGGGCCAGTTGTTTTTTGTGTGTTTACTTCAGCTACCCGGAGAATCTGCTCCGCCTATTTCGCCTTGATGGTCGCCTTGGTGTAGGTTAAGAGGTATTCACAGTCTGTTTGTAAGTTAACTATAAACTGTTCTGATATTTTATCAATCGCCGGTTTCCGTTCAGAAATTCTGCTTCAATTATCTTCAGTACATAAATCGGCCTGACCATTCCTCTTTATGCAGCGCTGAGCCAAATTTTTCGTCCGCTATTTCCATAAAGTCGTTAAAGCTGAAACTTTTTCCCATACTAGTTCGAAATTTTGTTTATCTATTTCATGTCCCGCTACCGTTTACATGAATGGATGAGTATACATTAAAATGTTTTCCAGACCGCGGGTCAGTTTAACCATCAGGCTAATATACATATTCTGTCAGTAAAACTACCCCATATTTTCGAGTGATACTGTACCGCTCAACGCACGAGTCACTCGCCACTCGCCACTCCGCAGTTTCTTACCACACCTTACAAACTGTGTAGAAGTATAGAGTGAAACGAGGCTTGATTTCCACTCTTTCATCTGCTTCTACACTCTTTAAACTTTGAAGTTCAAGTAGCGTCATAAAAGAGTTAAGAAATCAATCAATACATGCATACGGACGGACAGACATAAATATTGCGATGATAGGCTACAGTATGTTTTAGTAATTCTCTTAAAACAAATTATTCCTTAAATGATATTTGAGACTTTCAAGGCTATAAAAATGTCGAAAGTGGTATTTCAGGTTTTGACACCTTGTAATGTTGTAGAAGGATACAGACATTTCGGTGTAACGTATGACATCTAATTTCCCAAAAGAAAAAGAAGAATATTAAGGCAACATGCTCCTCCGGAACGTTGGTGATCTGCAATAAGAGTTCACCCCACCATTACCCAGAAGCTCTGATATCCTGAAGATTGAGACAATACTTTCCTCCGACACATTTATAATCACCTACAAGATTTCACAGCATCACAACCCAGATCCCATCAACCATGGAATAGTAAAGACCTACAAGACTACACCATGGCGTCACAACCCAGAAGATCACAAGCCACATTATTTCTTATCTGTGTTCTTTCTTCTGTTGCGTTCTTATGAACAGTGCAATATATCAGTGGTGAGGTTACATTATAAGAAACAGAAGTAATTGTAAGTGTAGCAAGAATGATGGCCCTTGTTTTGCAGGAACTATGGATCTTGTGAAGGGGCTTAGCAGGCGCGGTGTGTTCGTTGGTCTTCAGGATCTGAAGGACCCTCATATTCCTTCTGCCATCAGCATCGCCCGACACAGGATCGGCGCCGTCATTGTGACTGGGTCTAGGGTGTCACTTGTCGCAGAAGAGTTCCTGGAACAGGTAGGACAAATAATTACAGACTGCAATCCTTCAGCCAATATGAGTCACGGTCTAATGAAAGCAGCAAGCCTTTTCCCACAGTTAACACGCGCCTATATAAAGATGTTTCCAAAATTGGGTTTTGCGGGAACCGGCGAAATAAAACGGCAAGATTAGAGGACCAATTCATTAGTAGTGTTCAGTTGTTAGTCTACATGTCCAATATCACTCTTAATACCAAGAATAAAAGCAAAAGGCTCTTCTTATAAAAAGGAGACCAGATTTCAAGTAGCCTAGCTAACATTTAATGCATCTAAATCAAGATAAAATGATCTCGACTTTTCAAGATGACAAAATTAAACTCACTACCAGCAACAACAGTCAGAAGGAATACAATATTGAACGGTATGTTTTAGAAATTTTATACAAATTTCAGTTTAGATCAGAGG